ATCATTTCATAACTCTTTTTTTTTACGACGGAGGTAATATATGATCTTTATCCGAAAATATCATTTTCATTCGTTATTTACATTAATTTATATTATTATTAATTTTTAAATATTTTCACGAAAATATGTTTTTAAGCAAGTCGTTCCAAAACAAACTTAAACAACCAATTTAAAATCGTCCATCTAAAACAACATAATTGCTTGTCTTAACTAAATTATTGACATAAAATGATAAGAACATGATATTAGATATAGTGATATATACCTCTTTTGTTAATAAATACTATTAAAAAAAGTGATTTATGTGAAATGATTCAAGGATAGTCTATTTGTACGACAATACTTATAACTAGTATACCTATTAATTTTTCGAGAAAATGATAATTAAGGACTAAATTTAAACTATATTAATTGATATGAGATTGAAATTGTCATTTTAAAAATTGAAGGATTAAAATTAATTCAAATTAACACGGATGTAAATAAAGAAAATCTAAGATATATTTTATCCATATATATATACTCTCTCCGTCCCATAACAAAATATTCATTTATTTTTTGCGTGTTGATCTTTGGATATTAATTATTATATCAAAATGTATTACAAATTAAGGAAAAATTGCAAAAATATTTCTATTAGTATCTTATAATACTAATATAATGACATTTGTATAAAACAATTATACAAATATAAGAATATTTTTAACGTTAAGTACAATGACGCAAAAAGTAAATGGATACATTGTTACGGGACGGGACGGAGGGAGTATTAATTTTGGCACATGCTCCAATGTTTTGTTCTGTTTTGTTTTGTTTTGTTTGTTTATTTATTTTTCTTTAATTTTTTTAATTTTTTTTATTTTTTTTATTTTTTTGGACAAGAGAAGTACTTTGTATAATTGATTGTAGATTTATCGATTGTTCTTTAATGTTGGGATCCTATTTTATGTGAGCAAGGGAAATATGGAATTATCTGATGAATCTTCTCATGAATTCACAGGCAGGCTATTCCCGATTTTATGGAATTTGGTATAAAAACATAGTATATAAAAGGAAACTATTAATTTGATTTTGTTCTTCCATGGAACTTTTAAAATATGATTCTATTCAATTAATTTTTTTCTTCAAAATATATATATATATTAGATTATTCATCTATTTTTTTTATATTATACAAAAAAAAAAATCGATTTTATATATAGAATATTACATCAAAATTTATTTATATTTTGCTACCTCTCTCTTTCAACTCATAAAGTATATTCTCCCTTCGTCCCAGGAAATACAAGTCTATTAATATAGATACGAGAATTCAGGTAAAGTATAATTAGTAAAAGTAATTATAAATTAAAATAATTAAATATTTTAATTAAGATTAAAAAATTATAAAATATAAAATTTAAAATGCGATTAAAGTGTATAATCATATTTCCAAAAAAGAAAAGGACAAATTATATGGGACGGACAAAAAAAAATAAAGACAAATTATACGAGAGAGAGTGAGTATTTTTTATTTTAGATTATCCAATTACAAACTAATCATTTCAAAAATAGGTTTTTTTTTCCTATAAATATCTCTATTCTACCATGACATTAGTACTTTTACACTATAAAAAAGTAAAAACAAAATTATCTTTTTACACTAATTTTAACTCTTAATTACAATTAAAATACTATTATTTTTTAAATTATGCGCTGTATATTTTTAACTGGACGGAGGGAGGATCAAACAATTAATCAAATTCAAAATTTTACTATTAGAAAATCTAAACCCAAAATTCAAACTTTCAAACAAACAAATGGTGTGTTTGTTTGGATTTTGAATTTTGAGTTTAGAATTTGAATAGTAAATATTTTGAATTGAAATAATTATATGATTTTAGAAAAATAGATATTGATTTAATATTTTAAATGTAAAATAATTTCTTAATATAATAAAAAAATAAAAAATAATAAGTATTTAATTTGTTGTTCTGAAATAGAAAAAATTGACTGAATTATAAAAATTTGGTTAAATATTCCAAAAGACCACAAAATTATAAAATATATAGTTTTTTATTTTAAATCACTGCATACTAAATAAATAACTTTTGATTCAGTAATGAATTACTCACTCGGTGTCTCCATTCAATGTACTAAACTTATTTTTTTATATTAAATTAAAAAATATATTATTCTATTTATTAGTAAAATTGTATAACGCTGTTTTGACATTTGTCCTTGAAAAATTAATTGTACGAACTTTTGGGATTATTTATAAACGATTTGTACAAAGTTTTGGGAGATAAATCTGTATATATGAAAAAATAAAAAAAATAAAAAAGAAGAAAAAAAAAATAAAGGAGGAAAGGAAGATATCAGGAAATAAATAAATAAAGTTTATCATAGGTAAAAACTCTTTGTTCGTGGGTTTGGATTTTTTAGTTTGAATTTTTATAGAAAAATTTAAAATTAAATAGTTATTTGATGTAATATAAATAAATGGTATTGTAATATTTTAAATATAAAATATATTTTTAACCTATGTAATGAAAAATATACTCCCTCTCAATACAATAGTCTTGTTTACCATTTTTGTCCGTCTCAAAACAATAGTTTTTCAATAAATAACCATATCACCGTAAAACTATCCATATTTTTTTTTATTACATAATTGTCACTACTTTTTACATTAATACATTCACAAGGACAAAAAAGTCTTTTATCTATATTTTTTACTAATTATCAATATAATATCAATATTTTTTAAATCTCGTGTTCAATTCAATTTAGAATATAATTTTGAGATTGGGGGAGTATAAATTATGCTTTGATTATTAGTATGAGTTGTCTCTTAAAGACATGGTTTTGGAGTACGGAGTATCATTTCACTTTTGTAATTCAAATACTCCTTCCGTCCCACATAATTTGTCTCTATTTTTTATTTTCGTCCATCTCATATAATTTGTCCATCTTTTTTGGGAAATATAATCATACACTTTAATCTCATTTTAAATTTTAAATTTTATACTTTTTTTAATCTTAATTAAACTATTTAGTTATTTTAATCTTAATCCATAATTATTTTTATTATATGATAATTATTTTTACTAATCACACTTTACCTAAATTTCCGTATTTACAGTAATAGGCCCATAATACATAGGACGGAGGGAATATTACGAAAAGCTACACCTCCGGATATTTTGGAATTGTCTATGTTACATATAATGCCTATTGAAAATGTGGGAAAAATATTAGAATAAAAAACTCGAAAGGAATGAGAGTAGAAGCTATAACATCATACACATCCTAGGTTTGAAAAAATAAATTGATCTCTATATAAAAATTGGATGAAGAAGTCTATACCAATGTTGGATGAAAACATGTGGTTTCAAATCCCGTAAGGGATCCTCTGGTGGTGTGGGGGTTGGACTTGTGATCGTGAAGTTATGAGTTCAAATTCCCGACGCCTCAGTTCACCTGCTATACATGGTTCGCCTAGTGTAATTTGTCTGTCGGACCTAATTTGAAGGGTATTAGGTTCAACCGGGGATTTACCTAGTGTGCATTTTCGGGTAGTGGGGATGGACTCTTGACTGTGAGGTCAGTGATTCGTCTAGTGTGATTTGTCTTGTCAAATCTAGTTATTTTAGGGTAAACTGTTTTTTTTTTTTTTTGTTTCGTATCTAACATTTTTTTATCATTTTAAGATTTTAAATTGATCATATCTAAAAATAGTTTCGTAAGTAAAAATTCTTAGCTAAAATGGTCGTCCGGTGCTGGAATTGCCACGGTGGCCCGCTGTTGCTGACGTGGTTGACATGTCATCGCCACGTCAATGACACGTAGGAATTTTTTATTTTATTTTATTTTATTATGTTACAAAATTCTTCATAAACTATTTTTTTAATCTTATATCTATGACCTCATTTATTTTAGGATTTTACATGGATCATGTCTGAAAATAACCTCGCAAATAAATTTTTTTTGCTAAAATAGTCCTCTGACGTGCCCACTTACGTGACGATAACATGTCAGTCGCGTCAGCAATGGCGCACCAGCGTGACGAATCCTACACTGAAGATCATGTTAGCAATTTTTTTTACTTACAAAACTATTTTCAGACATAGTTCATTTAAAATCCTAAAAGAATAAATGATGTCAGATACGAAACTAAAAAAACAATTTACTCAAACTATCAAGATGTTTCTATTTTTTTCATAAATGATGTCAGATACGAAACTAAAAAAAACAGTTTACTCAAACTATCAAGATGTTTCTATTTTTTTCAAAAAAAATATTAAACCAAAAAGAATACTATTTAATGATATAATTTGAACATAAAATGAGAGCATACTGAAATAAAATTACTTGTTTCGAATGAAAAAGAAAAAGACGAGATGGTTGCATTCACTGTGCAAGATAATGAGAATGTCAAAGAAGATGATGATGTCAACACTACAGGGATGAGATGACAAGAACTTATTGAAAACTATGAAATGATTATTGCTAATAAAAATATATTGATTTCTCAAAATGAAAAACTCGGACCATATGTTGGTCCGACCACGACCCGATTCATTGGCCTATCGAGCCGAATACGGCTCGAAAAATTCTGAATCTATTTTTTGAGATCTAAACATTAACTTTTTCTTACCGATTTTGAATTAGATTTTGGAACTATATATTTTTTCGAACACGGCCCAAGTCATTGACGTGCCGGACTTGGCACCGTCTAAACAATTTCAAACTTATTTTTTATGGCCTCGAAACACAATTTTTTCTTACCGAATAAATTCTTGAACCATATTTATTTTTGCGGGACTACTTATATACTTGAAAAATTTTAGATAACCTCAACTTACAACTAAGATAATACTAACAAATGTGGAGCAATAACCTCAATTTTAGTGTGCTTGTTTGAGGGATTGGATTTTACATTTAGTATTTATCACATTTTTTCTCTCAAAAAATATTAAATTAAATACATATTTTTTAACTTTTTATATTATACTGAAAATCAATTTTACATTCAAAATATCACACCAATACCTATTTATATCATATCATACAACTATTAAATTCAAAATGTTTACTATTCAAATTTCATCTCAAAATTCAAATGCACATGCAAAAACAAAAAATCCCCTAAGACATCATACTACACTACAGTGCCGCCCGAGTCAACTCGGAGCGAGGCGCGGCAGAGCGGACAACTCGACCGAGTCGCGAGCCACTTATCGACGCAATCCGAGTGAAACCTATGGCGGCACGCCGGCAGCATTTTCAATTTGTCGCCGCCGGAAAACGTGCCCAGGCAGATGCAGCACCCGACGGGCCCCTCGCCGTCGGTGGCGGCGCAGCTGGAGGGCGAATTTTCATAGACCAAAATTGGGAAACTGTTAATTGTCGCCAGATCGAGGCCGCCCTGAGCGAGCGGCGGCACCGGCGGCGCTGCCGCGGCGCGAGCCGCCGACGGCGAGACTGGGCCGACGCTGCAGATCCATCGGGCGTAGAGGAAAAGGAGCGCCGCCAGTATCACGGCGGAGAAGACGACGGCGACGTAGAAGAGGGACTCCCCGCGGAGTTGGAGTTTGTTGTCGCCGGCGAATACGCCGTCGTTCCACCTGTACGGAAGCGCCGCCGGGTTGTGCTGGTAGGACATGGTTGTCGTCTCGGCGAGGTGATTCGATTACATATGTAATATTGGTGTGTTCATATGCGGCGGCGCCGGCGGTGGCGGTGGTCGGAGGCGGTGGGGGAATTTTAGCAATTATTGAAGTAGTTGGGGGTTCAGTGTAAATTTAGAAGGAATGAAATAATTGGGAGGAAGGGATAAGCCACGCGCGAGGTGGGGCGCCTGGGTAAGGATGACGTGTGATGCTGACAGTGGCGTAGGTAGCAGTTGTAATTTTATGAATACACTCATTAATATTATTGTATAAACGGCAAATTGGTCTCAAAGGGTCGTGAAATTGGATAAAGTTTGAAGTATGATATGTATTTTTCTAATTATTTTCAATTATATTTAAATAAAATATACCCCTTGCGAAAATTATACTTCGATCTCTAGTAAAAATTATACGTGAAAATAATTATGTTATAATATAAATAATTATAAATTAAAATTAAAATAACTAATTAGTTTAATTAAAATTTAAAAAAAATAAATTAAAAAATTTAAAATGAGATTAAAGTGTATAATCATTTTTCAAAAAAGAAAAGTGACATGGAATGTGGGACGGACGGAAACGACAACGTGGACATGGTATGTGGGACGGAGGGAGTAATTTTTTCATCTCATATCTATCAATCCGTTTACTTTTTAAATAAAATTTTAAAAATATTAATATTATATTAGAATACAGTAAAAATAAAGGTAAAAAAATTAACTAACCTTATTAGTATTTTATTCATTTCCATCCCACATAATTTATCTCTATTTTTATTTTTATCCGTCTCATATAATTTGTTCTTTCTTTTTTTTAAAAAAAAATGATTATACACTTTAATTATATTATAAAAATTTATAATTTGTAATTTTTTTAATCTTAATTAAAATATTTAGTTATTTTAATCTTAATGTATAATTATTCTTATTAAATAATAATAATTTTCATTAATATACTTTTAATTATTTATTAATTATATTTTACCTAATCTTCCGTATCTAAGGTAATACAAGCCTATCTTATCTAGGATAGAGGGAATATGATACAAAGGTAATAATATCTATATAATATATTGTAAATTAGAATATTATTTGTAATGTCAAGGAAATTGATATTTTATTATAGGACATACCAAAATGACAAAACGGATAAATTATTAAAGATGGGTAAAATACTATTTTTATAGTTTTTCTAAAAGAAAAATAAAAATACACATTTATGGTAAAATTTATAAATACAATTGGATAATAAAGAGAATATTAGTTTTTCTTTTTATCCATTAAAATCATGTATAGTCTATTTCCTTTTGAAACAATTTATCTTATTACTAATTGAATTTGAAATGAAACTTTCCTTATTAACAATAAATATTTTATTTAAAAACTAATAAAAAATTTCAACCGTCAACCACCAAGAGTCGGCAAAAATTGATCGACACAATAATCTGACACGAATTCGATACAAAATAATTGGATTTAGGTCAAAGATTTCAACCCGTTTGTATATACGGGTCGACACAAACCCGACACGATAATAAACGTGTTGGGCTAGATTGGGGCTCTCAACTTGACACGACAACCCGATTATAATATATTAATATTGATTAATATATTTATTATATATATGTAAAATAATCCTAATTTAATAAAAATTAACATAACACGAACAAAAAATAATTTAATTTGAATCAATGAATTTCAACTTAATTATGTATATGGGTCAACACGAGTCAACATAAACCCCATACGATAATAAACGGGTCAACATAAACATGACACGATAATAAACGAATCAAATTAAAATTGAATAATTTAACCCGTTTAAAGTATTCAACCTGACACAAACCCTACACGAATTGACCATTGCCAGTTCTAAAACCTAGATTTTTGTTATTTTTTTTTAAGTAAAATAATATTAATATCGTTATTTATAAAAAGATAATAACTAATATTTAATATATAAGGCGGAACGAAATATTCTTTATTCCTTTTTTCTTTTTCTTTTATTTTTTTAATTTCCTTTATTTCTACTAATGAAAGAGTGCCACTAGGTTGAGAGAAAATATCAATATAGAGTTTATGTATCTTTAATTATATTTTCAGTACTTTCCGACTTTATTTTGTTCAAATATAAATATTTTAGATTATATTCAACAAATTTTATATCTTAATTTTTATTATATTATTTTTTCAAAAAAAAATATCATGTTCAAATACTATCAAAACATAATTTTATGACCGAAGTAATATACAAACTATTTAAATTTAATTTTTTTATATAATATTTAAATCCAAAATTTATAATATACTGATGCAAGTTTTATGAAAAAATAATTAAGATTTATGATTTAGGCATTATAGTTTATTATATTTTTATTATTTAACATTTTTTTTACATTACTTTATAAAATTTGTAAGAATATTATTTAAGCATAAAATATCAAACTCAAAACAAAAATAAATCTTTCAAATATTATATAAAATTTGACTATAAATAGTATTATAAGTGGTATAGCTTGACAAAAATAAAAGTATGCTTTTATTATAACATACTAATATAATAAAAAAAAAAATTGAGATGGAAAAATAATTGAAATAAAAATTAAGTTAGGATATAATTTTATTTTAAAAAATAAACTGACAAATAATAAAAGTAATACATAAGATCTATTGATATTTTAGTTTTGTTCGGGTGAAACGAATACTAAAAAATATTATTAAAAAATAGAATATCGACACAAATTAGCACATATATAATACTCTTAGCGTCCGCCTCTAATGATTATATTTACTTTTGTGTCATTATACTTAACATTAAAAATATTCTTATATTTGTATAATTTTTTTTTTACAAATATATTTCTATTAGTATTACAAGGCACTAATAAAAATAATTTTGTAATTTTTTCTTAATTTGTAATATGTTTTGATATAATAATTAATATTTAAAAGATTAATACGCAAAAACTAATGAGACCTCAGAGCCTGGCGGAGGTAATATATATTTTATTCACTCACAAAAATTAATATTTAAACAAAATATATTATTTTTAATATTACTTGAGTCCGGATTTTATTTTGAAAGGTGCTTCGTCATTGAGTCGAGGAAAATTAATGTATAAGGGTTGCTGATGTAAGTCAGGAACGTAACAATTCGCGTTGGTCATGTCGAATTTTTCGGTTGCTATTATGTCATTTAGGTCATAGTTGGTAGGACTTCAATCTGAAGCTTCAGGAGATGGTGTTGGTGATTCAGGAGGAACAACTATTGATCGTCCTTGTCTGCGTTCTCGGGTCTTACAGTCCTTTTAATTTCAGGATCAAATCTTAACTTACCTGTGCGAGGAAGACGGGACATAAACCAACAATTAAATTCAGAATATAATCGAACTAAAAATAAAAAAACTCAAAAATCAACCCTCGGCAGCGGTGTAAAAAATTGATAGCGTTCTAGCCATGCAATAAAATTTCCTACTTTCTAATCGACGAATCGGAGTATAATAAATAGAATCGTCTCCACAAGAATCAGTTGATTTACTTCTACTCAGTAAGATCAATTAAAATAAACGGGATTTTCTAATTTTAAATATAATCCTAAACTAAAATAAAAGCAAACGCAAAACGAATAAAAAAATTTTAAAAATGAAGAAAATCAAATAAATCAAGATCTTCACATATAAACAATAAAAACACTTAGCCCAATTATTAATTTCAGAAGTGAACCTCGGGTTTTGATTACGATTTTATATTTTATTCTATTAAATCTGTTGATAAATTTGTTATAAAAACTGACACGCATCTAACTTCTAAATTTTATGTACTTAATCGTTAATAAATGTACAACCATTAATTAATTTCATAATTGATAAAAGAAATTCGAGTACGACCAAAAACAAAATCAATAGGATTAAACCCTAGAAAAACCAAATTATGATTCGCAAACTCATACGCAGGGTTTTCAAAATCATATCGTAAATTCATAAGATGATTAGTAAGCATCTTATTGTCACTAGATCAAATAATCACATAACTACGCAATTATTTAATTGAATATAAATGATTAATTCAACCTACATATCTCGTCACAATACTAGATCAATAAAATAACCTTAGATATGCTATACCAAAAATTTTACGAAAATATTTTTGTAGTTAGAATATGTCATACAACAATAAAAATTAATTTTGCCGCTAAAAATAAATTATATACTACAAAATTAATTTTTTTCCTAAACTTCTGTTGCAAGAAATTCCTATTTTCGTAACAAAATGTTTTGAACTACAAAATCTTCTTTCAAGCTAAAATTATTTGACTAAAAAAATTATACATATTTTATTGCTAAAATTCTTTTGTTATGATTTTTTTTTAACAGCAAAAAAACTTAGCTACGAAATTATATTTTTGTAACTATATATCTTTTTATAACTTTCATAGCAAAAAACTTATATTTCATTATGAAAGTAAAATTTATCGTCAAAGATCTTTACCAATGTGGCATAGGCGACGAAGCTTATTTTTTCGCAAAATCTTTTTGCTACAAATTCACTACCTTTCGCTATAAAATTTTTTGTAGCTAAATTTCAACTTTTTTTGTGGTGATAGAAATTATCAATTAAAGAGTCAATCTCACAAACCATAGAGTTCAAATCGTTAATCGATCATTGAACTAGATAAAAAAAACTTAGCTACTCGCGAATAAAAAAAAACAGGGAAAGAAAGATAATATTGCATTTAGGTAAGTTTCTGTCTTGACAGGATCCTATCGGTTCATCGTTTTCATCTAAGAATCCGATATCACAATGTTGTCCTTCAGAACTTGCGCTCGTGCCTCACTTCTCTAAGTCCAAGTATGATTTATGCGCCGTCTTTTGTTGTTGGAGATGTTTTTGGTTTATTTTGCATCAGTCCAACCCCCCTCCCCTTTTTTTTTTGCTTAATCGGTAGAGAAAATTGGCTTGGTTGAATAACTTCACCACATGTTTAGGGCCTTCTAAATATGATAGATTTGATTGTGATGTCATAAGAGTAATTTCACTACAAGAAAATATCATTTTTGTAACGAGATTTTTTCGTCATTAAATTCACTTTTTCTGTTACTAATGATATTAAAG